CGCCCCGCCCCGCCCGGGAGCCGGGCCCCAGCTCGGTGCTCCGGGAGCTGCCGGTGCCCGCGCCCCGCTCCCACCGGGCCCCAACCTGGGCGGGAGGCACCGAGGGGGGTCGTACGGGAGACCCGGCGGGGCCCGGCAGAGCCGCAGCAACGCGCTGCCCTCCCTCTACGGCTCCAGCACCGCGTGTTCTCCGCCGTGAAGCCCCGGTCCGGCCCCTCCTTTGCGGAGATGCCTTAAAACCGATGCCCAAGCCGGGAGAGGCGGCAGGCTCGGGGTCACCGTTCCCCGGTAGTTTGCAACCGCAGCGTTCTGGAGCCAGCGGTCCCACCTCCCCGAACCCCAGTAACAGACCAGGCGAGTCGGGGACGGCTTCGCACAACCCTTTTATTGACGGGGGGAGTCGTGGTTCCCGGTAAAGAGCAAAACGGGAGCGGCGAAGCAAAGCGGCAGCTCCTCACGGCACCCGGGCGGGCTATTCCCATCCACCCGTTCCACGCACGCTGGGACCACGCACGGTTTATCAAAGCACTCGAGGGGATGGAGCTACGGCACAGCTACTCCTTGGGTGCCGAAGGACATCTCCTCCTTCCCGAGTTGCAAAAGTTAAGAAAACACAAAGCCTTTGTCCTTTCACCTTTTTTCCCTCGTTAGTTCCCATTTTGCAAGGGTTAGTTGCCATTTATCACGCTCAGCAGCGAAGCAGTCATCTGGTTTTTTGCTTCCCGAAGAGCCGCAACAACTTCACCAGCTCCGATGCCCCCAGCCCACGAGGATCTCGACCACCTTTCCCAAGCCTCCCCCACCAGAAAGCCACCACAGCAGGGCCCTGGTGGGATGGTTTCTCCCCCCACAAAGGCAGCTGGCTCACTGCAAAACAACTAAACAACTACCTCCAAATCATTTGTTCCACCCGGAGCCATCCCTTTACAGGGACCTTCCACAGACGGAGCTTTAAGAAACCCTTCCCGGCAGTGATGGCACACCACACTAATTCACCTTAACAAGAGCCAGACCAATTAGCAGCTCACCCACTACCTCAAATGCCCAGGTGCTCAAATTCCACAGGTCCTATTCCCAAGCTTCGTTTTCTCCATTTTCACATAACAGTCTTTCCCAACTGCTGTCTTTGGGACTAATTCAACTACTTGGTTTGGGATTGTTTTTAATTGCAAGAACCATCAGTGTCTGGTCTAGAAACCCCCACTTCAAAATGCCCACTCCATTGACATTGCACAGATCCTGGGAAACATTAACTCCTGCTGGTCAGTGGCCCAAACACACAACCCACACTGTCTGCCCTTGTGCTTCTAAATTTTGCCCTTCAGCTGGTGACTCTCCTATGGATAAGGACTTTCACCTTCCAACACTCCGAACGGGTCACCTTCAACTTCTATGGAATCTTTCCAGCAACATAACAGTCACCAGGAACTGCCTCCTTCCTTCTTTCCATTTCTCCTACCTGCCAACTAAACCTAACATCTTCCAGCTGCTAAACAGTTTCACAACAACAGGCAACAAGCTTCCTCAACTCCTCTTTTACCTTCAGAGGTCTTGGCAGTGAGCTCCCACCGGCTCTTTCTTTCTGGACGGCTGCTGCAGAAGAAGACTGGAGGAGCAACTTCTGCCTTCCCCCCCGAAGCGTTCACGGCTCAATTTCACGGAGATCCATGCGTATCCATCCAGACTCCTTGGTGCTTACACAGATGCATTGGCATGAGCGCAGCTCTGGGAATCCTCCCACTTCAGACTCGTCTTCCCCATGCCACAAGCTGTTCAGAGCTGGCAGGCTCCAGGCGTATTACAGAGAGCTCGCACCTACTGCAGACTGAAGCTTCTCCTCCAGGGACAGATGCAGCAAAACCAGCAGATTTGAGCCACGCAAACTGGCTGTGAGACATCTCCCCCTCTCACTTCCCAAAATATTTAACCTAATAAGTTGAAACACCCCACTAAACTACTCAAGATAGTGGGTCTTCCATTACTTGAGACAGAGCAGTACAACCCCTCCCTTCTGAGCTTCTCCCATTTCCAGTCAACACAGAAAACTCATTAATGACCAACACTACGTCTCTGCTAACTTCTCTGGGCACCCTGCACCACCACAGAAGACTACACCTGTACCGGAACATGTCTGCATGGCTCCTTGTGTCCTTGCTGCAACTCCGATGCTAACACACTCCTTGCCACCGCAGGCCACCACATCACCATCTCTCAAGCCCCATGAGAAGTGTTGTACGTGGGCGTTCAAACTCACCTCAGGAACTGCGATGCTGTCTCCAAACACTGCCATTTTTGCCTACTCTGTACTCTCCCTGTCCTTCTGGGAAACTACTACGTCAAGTCCAACAACACCTAGAGAAACTGCCAGTTGTTATTTTGAGTGCTTTTGGCAAACCCGGTTTGTAGATGTCATGCCTATGATCTGTTCCATTTTCAGCAGAACTAGCTCACACTTTCTTCTTAGATTCTTAATTTCACTCATGACACCAAGTTGCCTTTGGTTTTTTTTAACATGAGTAATTAGCAGGTCTTTAAGAGACCCGTGTCTTCCACTAACGGAGAAAATGGATTATACAAATTAGAGAAGTTCCTTAGCACAACTCTGTTCCTTTACCAAAACACAGCCATACAGAAGATCCAACTTCCCTGAGCACAAGAGAAAAGACCCTTCCTTGCTGCTTCCAAGCCCATCCCTCCAGGTGGTTTCTGCATTTCCTATCAGGGCTCACTCACAATTGCTTCTGCTGCCTCTTTGTGCTGCCTGTAATCATTTGGTCTCTGACTATCCACAGAACAAAGATGTCCCCCAAAATGACCAATACAGGGAATTAAAGAACACTGTACTCAAGCGAGCAGAGGTGTTAACAGCCCGTTAAGCTGTTTTCTCTATGGGGAAACTGATATAACTACAGCAGAGTAATTAGCACCACCACAACTATGCAAGCCTAACTCCCCCAAGTACAATTCTGCAACAGCCATTCTTATGTGGTCAAGTGTGCAAAGGCAGAAGCTACAACACCCTAGCTAGAATATTTACTCTGCTTTAAAGACCATCCTTTTGCAGACCAACTCCTAAAGAGTGGATTACTGAACACATAAGGGGACATCCCCCTCCCCCAACAAACCAGAAAAACCCACAGTTATCCATTTGCCTAAGTCACAGCACATTAGCCAAATGCTATAAATGGGATCCAAAGTTTAGGGAAAAAAAAAAAACCTTTTACAGAACTATTGTTGTTGCTCCTCTCACTCTTTAGGAGATCAAACTCTGCTTTCTGCACTGTTCTTCAAGCACATGCAAACATCATGCAAAAAATACAGGCTTTGAGCACAGCACAGAAGAGGTGGTACAGCTTAGAGAAGAATTATAAAAAAGTCCTTACTTGTGTGTGGGAAGGCTTAAGGGAATATTTCAGCACATCAGGAGCTGAATCACTGCATGTAGGTGGAGCCAGACAGATTGACAAGATCTGTAACTTGAAAAATGACCTAAGTCTGAGATCAATCATCTCACAGAGTAGCTGACTGAGGGGAACAACATATGGAGACAGCTCAAGGTGATAAGGCTCAATGTCAACATGACATGCAAAAACTGTATTAGAGACACATGCTACAATTTACCAACTATTCTATAACTCAAAACATGGACAACTGTGATCCTCTCAGCACCAACAGGCCGAGCAGCCTTTTTTCTGTTACCTCTTAGTATCACCACCACAACTTTATCTTAACAGATTTCCCTACTACAGCAGCACATTAAAAAAGCACTTTGGGGGAAGCCATTAGCAAACATCTCTTTTTCATGTATTAGATTAATGAAGAATCTAGCTTTCAGGTAGATTTTCTGAGAAGTTGTGCAGCAGCCACTTGATGGAAAACTAAGAATTACAGATCAGACAAAAGCATGAAAAATAAAGGATGGTACACCAAGATTTCAAGTTTTACAGCCCTTCAGATCACTAAACCCCATAAAATGTGCTTGATAGGCTAATCCAGGACAGAGAACAGGACTCAAATTACAAACAAAACCAAGTAATAACTTTCTAGCATTCATCTTCTGAAAGCTCAAACTTGGGGGTCTATTTATCAGAAGACCTGTAATTTGTATATGCAAATGAAACCAGATTCCTACAGCTAAGCAGTTCCTGAACCTTGCCACTAGACACAAACCAGTTAAAAGGTCGTTCATTGCTTTACTATTCCAATTCTGCATGGTCTCAAACTATTTCCATTTGTGACTCTCTTAAGGTAAAACACTAAACTTTAAGAGATTTATTTAATGAATTAAATAAATATTAATTTACCATTCTCGGTAAATATTATATATTACCAGCAGTTAGTGTTATATCAGTACTCATCAATACTAAATTAGATCGCTAACCAATAACCCTGACAATTTCAAGTGCAATTTGGTGGGTCATTCTGAAGTTCGAAATGTTTTTTCTCCTCATTCTCATAAATGCTCTATCCCTGTAAATATAATTTAGCAAATGCTGTTCTCTCATATACTCCAGCTAGTCATGTGGTCAAACTGAAGGGTAATCGTTTTCCCTCATTAGTTCAGGGGAACAGAGTTAATCCCTGCTAATCTGAGAACAAATCCAAGTTTTTAGCTCACTACATCCCATGCAGGACATTATTTTCTGTGCTGCAAAATTAGTACACCACCTTCTCATGGCTATCTGTACACTTATTTAAAACAGGGAGCTAAAATATGCAACACTGGGAACCTCAACCAACCACAAAGGAAAAGTCTGTTATTAAGCAGTTCCAGTGTAGGCAGAAATTTCTGTTCAGACTGACAACAGCTAAGAATATGCATTTTATTTGATAGGGAATAGTATCATCCAAAGACTTACATGGGCATCTGGACTCTTAGAGATTGTTCTTATGAACGTAATCCCAAATAAATAGGATTGTCTGACTGGAGAGTTAATCCTGAAAAACTTACTTTTTCTTCGTTAAACAAACATTCTTCTGCCCCCTCCCCCTTTAAACCTGTTATTCTACCTTCTTTTTGAGGACCAGGAGAATCAGTCTAGACAGAATGGGCTCTCTTTAAAGCAAGACAAAAACGGACATGACTCAGAAGTGCTGAAAGACTAGTTATGCTTTCAGATGTTCTGCTTTATCTACCTCCTGCAAAGTAGTAAAGAGTAGGAGTGGGGAAAAAAAAAAACCAAACCAAACCACCCAAGCAACCAGGTGTAGAGTCAGAAGGAAGAGCTAAGTGTGTAGGCAGGTTATCAGACCCCAGGAACAGATCCAAACAGAAGATAGTGAGAAATCTGGGTGCAGACGGACATGGCCACGCTTCCTCTAAGTGCAAGCCTTTGCATCTGAGGTCCCAGGGCCTCTTGCCATTTGCAATGGCTGCTCCGAACCCGTAAGTGCTGCTGGAGAGACTGGAAGGAGCCACCGGGTTGGGCACGCTGTTCTCTTCCATCAGAAAGATCTACCGGGGGGTAAGTTGCTAAATTAATTCCCACATACAGAAGTGTTACAGTTGCCACAGAGGTAAAATTCAATAGCAAATGGGAGGGAAGAAAGGCAAGAATATATTTCATAATGATCTTAAAAGAACAATTAGAAGTTGATAAGCAGGAGCCAAGACAGAGTTAGACAGGGGTGAATAAGTATTAGGTCAGGAAATTTAAGGATAGAAGATTACAAGTAATATCCAACATCAGAAATAAGCCTGGAAAGAAAGCTTCAGGTAAACAGCTTGTGTGTTCTGAAGGATAAAGTCTTAAACCAGGGAGACTGCTATTGTATGGCTACACAACATATACTGCAGAGACAGAATGACCCTGCCGCTCTACAGAAGGTACAGCAGCATCAGTGGATTTAAAGTCTTTTAAAAATATGTGGATGCAGCCTTGAGCTGTGCAACTGGGTGCCTTTCACATGACTAGCACAAACACTAATTTGACTCAATGAAACTTTTAACTAACAGGACAGCTTGCGGCCACTTCCCTCTATTCCTCAAATTACCACAGCCAGCTTGTATAAGGTTAGTTTTCAGCAAGACAGCTGCAAAATGTAATTTATTATTTTTTTAAACCCTCACTTATACTCGCATTCAACATTTTCTTCCTTTATCGAAAAGAGCATTAGGGCAATCTCTTAGGGCTATAAAGAAAAAAAATTACCTCGACCAGAGGCTGATAAACTAGCACGGATCAAAAGCTTCCATTCAGCACAGTCTGCCTGGTACACAGTGCATGCTTTCAGTGCCCACAGTAACTAAGATTTGTTTTACTGATGAAAACATGTTTCTGATTTGGAAAATTCATTTCAGCTAGCCTCCTTTCACATGGGAAGTAGAATAAGAGTGTAAACTTACCCATGAATTCTAACTTCAAAAATATTTTTGACCTAATATTATCACTAGAAAACAACTCACAGCCATGACACCAAAGCCTCCACAGGCAGGGTTTAACATGCCTACATTCCCGGAGTCCAGCCATGTCATTCATTACTGTTTTCCTTTCCTGATGTGCTCAGTTTACAAGAAAGAAAACTCCTCCCTTTTCTTGCTCAAAAGCCAGTTCAGCGAGCTCAATTTCAGACGTGAATGAAGCTAACTTTTCCTGGTCAGAACCACCTACAACAGTTCTGCAGGCCAAATCCAGACCGCACCAATATCCATGCAAGTTTGTTATTTTTACTGATTGCACAAAATTTCATCCAACTAGAATTCGGTAAAAATAACACTGGTAATACAAACAGGGAGATAACTACATTCCCTTTGTTAGTTTTGCAAAACAAAGCGGAGGAAAAAAAAATAATTGAGCCATCTTAATGGAACAGCTCCAGCACACTTTGCACAAGATAAAATCAGAAATTCTAAATAACAAGGAGCCTCTTTTTACAAAGTTACCTTTGCAGAGTAAAATGGCATTTCGAGGATTTTCATCCTATCTACCAACATCTATGAAACCACTCCATCCCCCAATCTCCTCCAACCAGTGCCCTCTAGAATTAGGCTGGCTGCTGTTTCCAGATAAAACGAGAAAAACCTGACTGAGCATGACACAGCATAAGAAGTATAGCTTATGTGAACTCAGGTGGTATGTACCCAAAATTACACTGTCTAGAGAAAAAGATGCAAAACCTTAGCTGTACTGGACAAGATCCTACCTCTTAGTGAAGCTGCATAAGGACCATTAAAATATGCTTATATATTATCTCCGAAGAGGATTAAACTATATCAATATAACTATCCATCCACAGAACTTGGTACTATTATTTTAGTAGAAAATAATCAAAATAGCTTACCAGTGCAAACTGTGTGCAGGACAAACCTAAGGCTACTTCACATTGCAGCTCCGTATTACATATATACATAATATTTGAGGGCGACAGGAAGGTGCCGTTACCACTGATGGAAATAATTACTAGTTTCAAAAGCATCCCCTCACTAGTACTTCTCCAAGCAGATGAACTTGATCTCAGACGGAACAATGGACAACGCCACTGTTAATATGTTCTCATGTAACAACCGCTGTATACTAATAACAGGTAAGTTTTGCCCCCAATTCCACTCAATTATTTTTCTTAAGTATGGTCTTTACTAATCATCTGCTTAACAAGATATGCCTCGAGTAACAACTGCTTTCTCCATCTTGGGGATATATTACATGATGGCAGACCACTATATGCCCATCAGTCACATCCATGGCAGCAGGCTGTGATAAGACAAACCAATCCAGTTATTATTGCAGCAACATGAGAAAGACATCAGGCTCATTTAAAAGGAATATTTTATTTACTTACCTGTCTCGATAAGCAGGTAAAGTTATTTTAGTTTCTTTGGATGCGACAGGAGTCCTGGGCCCCTTTTTGGTACTCTGAACAGTCAACTCCTCCATATGAATGAAAACATTAATGAACTTTTTAAAGGACTGAAGGAAAGAAAGAGAGCTGGACAGGGAAAGTAGAGTGGTGAAAACAAAAGAGTTGGCACACAAGCTGGCAGCAATTTAAACTTGATATTCAACATATCAAAATATTAGTATCAACATCTCAATCATCTAAGTTCTGGTGCTACACGTGTTTATAATATACATGTGTTTATAATATATTTAGATTCAAATAAAAGTAAATAAAGACATTGCTAGACACTAAACAAGTTTTAAAAAAGAAATAGTGTCAGAACAAGATTGCCATGGTCAAAGGAACACCTCTAATATGGGTTATAAACTGCTAGAGCTGAGATTCAAAGGACCATATCAGCAATTTGCCCCTTAGACAGGACACCCTGGCAGCCTCTTACATGGTGAGGACACAGCAGGACTCTGCAGCAAGAACTGGCTTTCGACAAGTTTCACTCTGTAATCCCCTCTGCCGGGTCCCAAATACCAAGATCCAAATCTCAGAGTGGAGCCCACAACAAAAAAGCAAGAGTGTCTCCGCAGAAATGACTGGAAGGGGCATAGCACAAAAACTCCAGGTGGGGGCTTGATGCAGACTAGAAGAATCTCTACTTTGTGAGAAACATTTAATTCAACACAATGAATTACAAGAGGACAGATTTACAGAATAATAACCATAACAGACTGTTCAAAAAGGAAAATAATTTTCACTGGCTGCAGTACCAGGTAAGGTTCCCCAAAGCAATACCTGGTAGAGCAGCAGCAAAGTACAATTCAGTCTTCTTGCAGTACTCCAAATGAGCAATACCAAAGAATTTTGTATTTTCAAATCTTTCAAGAAAAGAGTTAATACAGTATCAATCACTTTGGCATGGGATATTTTTCAAGGAGCTTAAACCTATTCAGATCACTAAGCTGCACTACTCCCAAAGGCTATTACTTTCCAGGCAATTCCCCTGGTCCCTTGCTGTCACTGCTAATCATTCTTACATGATAAAGGCTCTGGGAGCTACTTTCTTCCCCAAGTTTTGGGGTACCAACAACTTGTACAATTGGTTAGTGGCACAATATTTAATCCACCACTTTATACTGTACTCTTAGCTGAGACATCCACGCATGAATTATGCAATGGATACCCTAAGACTAAAATAATTTTGCAACCTAGTCAACATTCTCCAAGCTATAAACTCTCATCTTCCTCCCCACTCCCTATCCTCCCTCCCCAGATAAATCCATTTTTAGCCACAAGTTACCCCAATATGCTCACAGACGTACTAGAAGAGACTGAGGAATCAATCAAGGTACCCATGGTGAAGCCAAATACTTATAAACACATTAAGGCAGGTTTCACATCATTTCATTTTTGGACACAAAATGCTGGTCACTTCACTGCACATGCAAATAAGAAAGATTTAATACTTAATAAAAAGCTTTAGATTCATTTTTAGATATCAATTATAGAAAAATCAACCTTTTTTCTTTCTTGTTTTAAAAGAGGTCAGAACATTACTGCACACAAAAGCAGATGTGTAGACACACCTATTGGAATGGATCCCCTTCCCTCTGCACACACAGAAACAGAGGTCAGGGTTCTTGGCACCAGAAGAGAAAGGAGGAAGGTTTCCTCATTGTCAGTCAGAAATGAGTCATCCTTCCATTCCGAGTTGAGAAGGTCCTTCTGACCTGACTTAAACCAAAGCAAAATATACCACAGAGTGGGTATATTTATCGTGAGAACTCTGTTCGACTATGCTCAGACATACACACAACTCCGTATCAAAAATGTGCACGGCAGTGCATTCAGTGTGGTGCTGGAACTAACTAAAAAAACCAATTGCCATTGATGTAAGACCAATTCCTCAAGTGTAACTTCCCCTACTAATCAAAACCTCAGGTGGAAGAGGCACTGGCAGTTCATCTCTGAGACTACACTTCCAAGACCAATGTGGTCTTTCGAGGAAAAGGAATTCAGCGACCCGAATTGACATATGGAATGACAATCCACAGCATAAAATGACCTCCCGACAGTCTGGTACAAACAGGTAGCCTACAGCAGAGTAGCCAAGGAGTGAAACAGCATCTCTCTCACTTGTGTTAGAGAGAAAATTGTTTCTATGGGTCATTGTTAAAGGTAATTTAATAGAAAAGCTTAAAAATGTATCACCTATCAGTGACCCACAACGAAAAAAAAAAGAAAAAAAAAAGGACAGGAAATTTGGTTCCTAGTATTTTCCCTCCCACCATTTTATATTCCTTTATTCCCTCCCACTTTTGCATTCCCGATTACCCTACCCCTTTAGAAAAAGGAAGGGGAGTAGAGTTTAGTCAGGTTCCATCTTCAAAACTACCCAGCAATTAATGAACCATCAGCTTCTCAACATTTCCTGAAGCGTACATCAAAATGCTCATAGGTACAGTTGGATTGTTGGTGCAATTTACTTGGCAGACACTCTTGGCTTTGTAAATAGTTGTGCTGACCCTGCTGATAGGGTTTATACTGGGAATTCTTAGATGGAACTCCCTAGAAGAAAGAGAAAAAAAGACCTTGTAAGTCAGTAAGAACTTTTTATATCTTTATAGCAAGTAATCCCTTAAAAGAATAAAGCACCATTGCCATAACATATCCATTTCTTTATCTCCTGTTTTTCACCTTCAGCAGACAGTTTATTCTGGTTCTTTGCTGTTGCCAGACCTTTGTAGTAGAAAGGAATGCAAGATATTCACTGTCCAAATAAAGCTACTGTTAGTGATGTGGTAAAACAGGAAAATAGAGAGAGCCCAGATATAAGACGGTGTCTCCCAAAGGCCAAATAGATTTCACATTATAATCAACCTTCCAGCCTGAAGGACTGCTTAACATATATCACTCTTCCTTCTACCTGAAATACAGCTGCCACTCCCTCCAAAGGGGCTTTTCTTTTCTTCTGCTATTCATCCTAAAAATTCCCTTTTTCCCCCTCCACGTTCTTGATTCTTGCCTCACAGGCTCTGGAGTGTACATAATGAAGCACCCAGGGTATTGGCTATCCTATTTCAGCAGCAGAACACTAACTGCTTTTCTTAGGCTAAAACTTAAAATGACCAAAAATTAAAATCAGTGAGTTCTGTTTTCATCTCACTGCATGAGCTCCAGTGACGATACATTCAGTGCTCCTGGCTAGGGTCACATCAAGGACCACAGCAAGGAAAAACTCTGCTTTGTAGCACAGTGCCCTGTCACTATCTAGTGCAACATACAACATTTAAGGGAATTCCTGTCGGTGTATCTTGACTTGGCCTTATGAATATGCTTTTTTCTGCACTGCTACAGAGTAATGATTCATTATTCAGAGCTATTTTGGTTTACAAGACAATAAAAAAAAATTCTGAGCACACCTTTAAAAAGTTCCACCGCACAAGTGAAAGTCAGAGGTATACTTGAGAACAAGAAGCAAGCCCTTTGTGATACTTTTAAGGGATGCACAATGTAAAGGCACATTTCTGTGAATCCGGTAGTTACTACTGTTACGCTATCTTAAATTTTTCAAATGTTTCCAGATTTTGAATATATATGTTCTTCTGTAACTTTCAGTTTATAAATTCCCACCACATATAAAGTTTTTTAGCAACTTCCCTCTTTTGATGGACAGGTTGCCTTTTTCTAACAGTCTGCGAATATTATTTTAAAAATTCCACAAATGTGCCCTCCTCTAATGTAAACTGCAAGAAAACGTGTACTAAAAATGCAAAAGTGAGAGAGGCAGGGGGAGAAGCTGAGTCCATAAGGTGGCAGTTGTCCTTTCTGACCACACTGTCCTCTTGCCTATCATAGGAAGTAATAAATAAATAAATAGGGGGGAAAAATTGACATCGCAAGACAAATACATTTTTAAGAACTGATCCACTTTCAAGACAGAATCCTTCAAGCACTTACATACACATTCTGGTTACACATTTAGACCACCTGACACAGGCATAAGGCCCAGAGCACTCCATGACAATGCAAGCACTCACCAGACATCACACACATCAAAATATTTCATTTTTTTTTCCCAAAAGCATGGCTACTACAGCTTTGAAAGTACATGTTAAAAAGCAAAGACTTGTCAATATATACTAAGATTCCTTCTGAAACATTTCTGCATTCAATGAAGTACAGTTTAAGGTGAGAAAGGATGCTATCACATTACCTGGACTATACATTCTCCATCTCCTGGTCATGGTCCTGCTCCTCCTCCTCCTCTTCCTCTTCTCCTTCTTCCTCGCCTCCTTCTTTCTCTGAAGGTGCTTCCCCATCTCTTGCTATTTCCTCCACATGGGCAAGCATGTCAGCCATCAGAGCTTCCTCCAGCCTCTTTCGCACCTGCTGCACCAGTTCCTCTTGCTTCCTGCCCCAAATCAACGAACACCGACATCAATCCTCAAAGCTGCCTCTTTCAAGAGAAAGGCATCTTAAATCCCTCATACACAAGGCTGGGCAGACAAGCATGGCTTTGAAAGAGCTCTCTGTAAGAACTGCATTGTAAAAAAATTGCCTGGCATTATACTGTAAGTGAAGATGAAAGGAACACTTTAAAAACTTGTCCAGTATTTCCTATTACAAGTCCTTAGCATTGACTGCACCATTTTTAATTCTGCCTGAAATTTGCCTAATCTAGCAGCTGACTCAAGACCTTTTTTTTTTTTAAAAAAAATTCCTAGCACTAATATTAATTCAAACAAGAAAAAGTCAGGCTACCCTGCTCAGATTTCCAGAAATGAGATTGGAGAAAATTAAGTTTCTGACCATTTCAATCTTTTTGCTCATTTTCCTTTTGAGTCACAACCTTAAATTCTACAGCTCCTTTTCTGTCAGTCATAGTAAAGAAGTGATCAACAATCAGCAGCTCATGGGACTCCTATTTCATCTCAGCCACAGGAAATCACAAAGTTATAAACAGACCATTTTTCCTGGTCATTCATATATAAATCAAGCACAAAAAAAAGTTATCCTGTAATTCAAAAAGATTTATCAATCGAACAGTCAAAACAAGTACTACCTTTAAACGCTGTTAATGAATGCAAAGTAGCGTGCTTTCAGATTAGTGTCTTTAGTATATTCAGTTCTCTATCAAGTGCTTAAAGCTGAATTTGACCAGTCTTGATTTAGCAATATAATTAATTACTGAAAGCAAGCTATACCTAAATAAATTGCATCCTTGTTCACTGCCACCGCAGCAGTTAGTGATTTTATTTGGTCCTGTGCTGACACACAGTAAGGTGAAGAGAATTGAAATGCACTGTTCAGGATTTCTCCAATCCCTTCTTTGCTTAGAGGCGCCTTAATCGAGGTTACTCAAATTCAGACACCTTTTTCAATAAAAGCAGACATACTCTGACATGAAAAACAAATATGAACCTGAAACCTCAGAGTAACCATGGTCAAAATAAAAAATAATGGGCTTTAAGTACATGCCTGTATGAGAACAGCTTTGTGTAACAATTTTTTTCTACCTTGTTCCAAGACAGTAAGTGATATTTCTATTTAATACCTAATATCTTCATCTGTCACCATAAATGCTTTGCAAAGTGGCTGTGAGGTGTTTAGCCAAACTCCAGGATTCTTCTCTACAGCCGCGGACAGCTGTCCAGTGATAGGCATAGTGCTAGTGTGCAGAGCACTAGCTATAGCAGAAAGAAGGGTTTCATCAGTGCAACCAGGTCCAACCCCTGCAAGTGGGAGGAAAAGCGATAATCAACATTGCACAAGACAAAGAACAGCAAATCAGGATAACAGGCATTATTTAAATTTTAATTGCAAAGCACATACTGTCATTTAGAAAGGTAACACAACATAAATCTCAGTCCTAAACACTTCTAACAGCACCTGTACAACTCTCTCCAGGGTTATTTAAACCTAGATCAATTCCTCATTCTGTTACACAAGAAAAACCTAATTGGGAATGGAAGCTGTTTCCATTCTGCTTCTGGAAAATGAACACACACACACACACAAAAGTCAAGAAGCTTTGCTTCAGTATCTCCTCAGGACAAAGGGCACCGAGACTTCCAGTCACAGTACTAACAGTTCCTGCTGAAGCAGGAATGGTCCACAGCACTGACGAGCACTGGAGAACAAGGAGGTCAAACACAATACCTTCAGATCACCGCTGATTGGTATCAAAATGCCACCCCTGGAGTTAAGGGCAGACTCTGATTACCTTGTAAACCTTTTGGAAGGTCCATTGTTTTCACCAGCTCCTCTGCAATGTCAAAAGCATTCAGTCCACTTAATTTCTTCTCCCAGAAGAGCTGACATCAAAGAAAGTGTTTATTGGCACAAAACAGAAATGGAATTGACAACTACACAAAGCACCTGCTTACTATCTAAAGGGGGCAGAACACTGCTGCAGACAATTTTATATTAGATTTACTACAAAAGGGGTCTGCCACGTCTGACAGTAAGGAACAATCCTCATTACCAATCAGTCCCGCAACAACTCCCGATTTGCTGCCTTGAGAGAGACCTTTTCTTCCAGGGACAGGTACTTTCACTGCTTCTGAACTGGAACAGTAAGGCGAGGCTTGCTGGCTTTCATTTAAGTGCACAGAGTGTGGGACAGACTTTTTTACACTCCTATTACTCTCCTGCTGTGTCACACATACCACAGAAGTTAAGGAATGCAAGAATTGTATCCAAGCTCTTCCCAAGGTAAAGCATTATTTTATTCCTCTCTAGCAGTTTCTCATGGGAACAACCATATCTATCTAGTCCTTTACTGTATTTTGAATCAGGTTCTCCTCAAGCTTAAGCACACATGAATGCACGGTTTGGTGGGAAGTCAGATACTTTACCTAGATACACCTTCAGCTCTCAGTCTACATATATAAGGATGATCAACGAATAGCTGGAATACCAGTTGTCTGGCAAGAAAGCAATTTTATCTAGGTTTTGAGAAACTAAGAATTTACCCCAAACAGTCCACACATGGCCCCTTTTCATGCCTGTCAAAATCTGAGTGCAACTGAACCCACATTACTTTTCCAATTACCAGCTCACAACATGGGGAATAAGTACAGTGACAGCCAAAACACACAGGCTGGATATTCTCTAGCCTATGACTTTCAAATAGATGAATTTTAAGCCAGCGCATGACGGGACTTAGCACTGCTTTCAAATTTTGAAGAAACATCTGGAGTCTGCTGACCAGAGGTTAATATAAGCTGCAGTCCAGTAAAATACTTTAAAGCTGTAATTTAACAGACTCTTAGATGTATATTGCAAAGACAGACACAAGAAAGAGCAAGTTTGCCCCATCTATGATACATAACAGAAAATGAAATATATAAACCAATACGTGTATATATATTATATATACAGTATATTTATTTTTTTATATATACACACTTATATACATAAAAACCTCTAAAGGACCTTCTCAGAAAACAGACTCCAATGTTGTCATAGAAAAGAAAAAGGATTACATAAGGAAAGCACGAGCAGAGTCTAGGAAGCTGCATTACAACAAGTAGTAACATGAGCAGCAAAACTACACAGGTCAGATTACAACATCTTTGTGTACTGGGGCTGATCTCTGCTGTCTAATAGATTGCATTCACACATCAATCTGCACTCACATATCAATCTCTTCCACAAGAGGGATACAAATCTTTATCCAGCTCAGAGTTTTGCATATCAATGTCATATCTTTAGTGTCCTCTTTTATTGTCTTAATTAGCCAAGGGGTTTAGAAGAACTGCAACAACACTACGAACACACATGCTCTACTTCCTTAGAAAAGCATGCTAAAACCCTAGCAACCTGTTAAAAAAAAAAACAAACCAAAAAAACCCCCCAAAACCCCACAACAAACCAACCACCAAAACAAACTACCCAACTCCATTTCAAATAGAACCTCTCTCACACTTAAGAAAGGTAGTTTTTAAGTTTGCAGAAAAGGTTTTCATTGTAAGAGATGGGTAGTTTATAGGGTATTTTTAAATTTTATTGAAATCACTTTGTCTCTTGGAATGATGTATTTTAATTCCACCAGACTTGCAAGAGTTTAAATTGTACTGATAATTGATACTGATGACAGCATCTGAACAGACTAATGAAGCTGAACATCTAGTTTCCAAAAGTTACAAAGATGGACTCACTACAGGAAAGGATTCACAGAATCCCTGGTGTGAGCTCTGCAGAGGAAACAGGCTGTCAGCTCTAGGTAATATTAATGAAATAAGAATGCCTTCCAAAGGCTGCTTTGAACAGGTACATCTTATTCTACCAGTGCCCAACTTCAAAGCCATACTTGTCCTAAGCATGCTTTTTGCATCCTTTCACTAGATGAAATTAAACTGAAAGATTTCCTTTAGTTTTGGTGTATTCTCTTTTTGCAAATACACAGTATGATAAGAAAAACAGTTTGATTTTGTAGTAATAATGACATTCCATGTGAATTTATGACCTTATTCATACAGGTAGAGTTAACTACTACTGACACAAGCATCTGAAAAAAAGGCCCATGCGGGGGGTACAATCCTTCGCACTACATCACAAACACCACATTGTATGTGGTCCGTACAGGAACAGGGATTTCTTGAAACACAGAATTCTGATACAACTGGAACATTTGACAGTGATTCCAATCACAATGCAAATGTCCCATGAAGTGGTTACCATGTCTGCCTAAATTTGTAGATAATACTTAATGTCAGCATTAAGGAAATGAAGGCTTAACTACAGCAGAATTGTGATCTAAACAAAGGTTGGAGTTTAGTTATAAAACACAGTGCAGACAGCATATTAACTGTATATTGGAAATGGGTTTTGTTCTGATTTTAAAAGCTGGCAGCACTGTAAGTTATTGTTTCTGAAATATCAGAGACTTCAAATTGCCATGGACTATTTGTTCAGCATCACAAAGTTCAAGTGGTTTATTTTGGGACACTCCCAGCAGCAAAACCAGGATTTTCTTAGTTCTGGAGAAGCAGCTACTAAGCTGCAAGCCTTACCTGCCGGGGCTGGTCCACAGCTTTCTGAGGATCACTCTTCACCTTATTGCTGGGATGGTTTGTGATTTTTGTGACAGGTTGTTTGAATATGGAGGCTGTCTGTCTGACAGGCAGTGCTGTGTTCAAATCAGGCTTGCCCTAAAAATTTCAAACAAAAGGAGGGGAAAAGCCCATAAAAATATTTTCAATTTGCTAAAATGCTACTACAGCCATGAAGATGTACAGTGGGGAAAAGAAGAGTTCATGGACTTGAAAACTTGTCTCATCTCAAGCTATATGAGTTAGACTGCTAAAAATGCGTAACTACCTTCAAATCTTGCCTTAGACCTATCAAAATTAAACAAGGTTTTCCACTCTTTCACATCCTACTTAACATACTAGCCTCCTCTCATTCTAGTTTATACACATTGATTTATCCCAATTTTGACAGAATTTAGGAGTCGGAATACTGAGTTTGCACTTTGAAAAGTCATTTGTAGATCACTAAAACAGAAGACTGACACAATATTTGTAATAATTAGAAAAATTATGAAGTGGGATTTAGAGACCATTTTGTGAATCCAGAAACCATTCTAAACCTTTCTGTTTCAATTCAGTCGTGGACACCAATAGACAAATCAATACAGCTGGAACCGTGATCACTTTTTTTACCTTCGGTTCTTAACAAAACTTATTTTTAAACGGAGCTCATAACAAACAAGTTTTCACTACATGACTGCATTTTATGTTAGTGGAAACACAGGAAGACCATTCCTCGTTCCTGAGATCTAACATGCAAGTCTTGAAATGGCTGTAGGACATACTTTGTTCTTGAGGACGCAGACACTCCGTCTGCTTAACATATTTATTCATGAGATGTAGAAAAGATGTATTCAGGACAAATATCATTCTGAACCATCTGTATGCTAATCCATTTATAAGCCAATGATAACTACATGTACATTTATTGAAAGGTTTGGGCAGAATTTTTAGCCTATGAGATGTGTGTTAGCTGCTGGTCTCTGCAGCAAGGCAAGTTTCTTTTAAAATATCACCATAGCACCTAGCGCTGTAAGTAAACGTTCCAATCACTCTGATGATGGTGATTCTTGAGTGGTTGACATATTTAGAAAACAAGCATTATGCTATTTTCCACATTTAATGTTTAGGTGCATAGACATAAGCTTCTGGGTTCTGCAAAAGGTTTTAGCATCTGATAAAGATACTTAGAATGACATGAGCCAATCTATCCAGACAGGCAGTATACCAATGTCACTGTAATCTTGACTAAACCTTAACAATCAAAATTAGCAGGTGCCAAACACAGACTCTTTTATTTTGTTCTACAAATAGGCCTTGCCATCCTCTTGCCTCTTCAGCTTTTTGCCCGAAACACATCCCCTCCTTAAATCAAATCCAAAGCCGAGATACCAGCACGGCCTATGGATAGCCCCATGGAGTCGCTCGCTTGCAGGAGGCTGCGTTACCTCGTCCCTGCTGCCCCAGGCCACTCTTCCCTCCTCTCCCAAACCAAATGCCAGAGCAGAGCAGAGCTGCTGCACAGTCACAGAAGTCAGCTGGAGAGTCACGGGTCTGGAGGAGATCGCACTGGAGAAGGCAATCTCACATTCCAGGGAGGGGAAGAGAAAAAGATGCCAGCCCTCCCTCCAGCCCTTCTGTACAGAAGATTTAGCAGTACCGCAATATTCTTCCATGGTATCAGCACCCTGGAAGAATCAGTGAATTGCAGTATTTGTCCAACACCCCATAACAGAGATGTTATCGTCCTCAACTCCAGTTTCACACATTAATTACAGAATGCTTAATTTTCACGCTATCACAGATACTGTTCTGAGAGGCAGTCTGGCCAGTACAATAGCAGACAGAAAGGGGAAAGCTGCCACTGCATCTTAGTCTTACTTTGGCTTGGTTGGAACAGTCATAGCGCATCCTCTGTCTGTTCTTGTTCATTTTATTCATCAACATTTTTCCTGTGCGGAAGTCAAAAGTGCTCAGGTCCATCGAGCTCCCCAGGTAGCGCGCCAGCTGGGGCTTGCTTCGGAACTTTTTACCACTTGGGCTGAAAAGAAAACACAGAAAAGAAACAAGGAGGGAAATTAAAACCCTCTGGACTTCAATACCAGCGCTCGCTGCAGCTCAGGAGAGGCTATTTTTATTTCCTTCATGAAAAACAATGTGTGCTGAACTTCCAAGAATGAAGCTCACATTAAACTCTAAATGGATATTATTGCTTTCATATTAACTCCTTCTTATGATTATTGTGGAAGAGACATGAAGTGCAAACCATGTTTTTACGTTTTTATACGTAAAAAGGAACATTCAGACCAGGTATAAATGAACATAGCATAATTCACCCAATAACCAACATGGAAGATATCAGCACAGATGTAGTTATCATTCAGTGGTCTCAAAAAACAAATGCCCATTTTCAAGCATAATTTCTTCTCCCAGGAGTGTTACATTTGACTAGCACCACAAACATCTCCTCCAACTCCTTCCCCGACCCCCCCCCCCCCCCCACCCAC